TTCCATGCTTAGATCCTCTGTTTTGGCTATGCAATTTGAAGTTGGGTGTGCGGCACCGCAACTCCACCTTTGTTTAGTGTCGAGTTCCTTTCCTGGATTTCCTCAAGCAATATCGATGGATTTCTTCCATACTCTTTGGACTACAGGCGCGAAACCCATAACTAGTCGATGTTGCCCTATCGGCCCACATCCTTCCATTATCCACTGGCCGGGTTGAGATTCTGTCCGTTGGATCTTTGATTCTCTGTTGTTTGGGAGCCGGGTGGGGTATTTTTGCTCACCCTCAAGTGGTGGTAATATTTATAGCTCACCACCCTACTTATTACCATTTGATTGGTTTAAATTTTGAGATTTGTGTCTATTCACTGCACATGTCACCAAATTTAAACTCGGTAATAAATAAGATAGTAAGCATCATCATCTCTTAAATTTGATTTGTGTGTATTCACTGCACATGTCATCAAATTTAAACTCGGTAAGAAATAAGATAGTGAGTATCACTATCTCTTGAAGGCAATGATAAAAAATATTCCCGAACCTGGAAGATAGATGGACCCACTTTACAACAAGTCTTATATACAGATGGGACCCAAACGTCCTCAATTATATGTGATCCATCACATGCATGCATGCAGGGTTTTCTCCAGTTAATTTGTTCGTTTGTTAAACGGATCGAATAGATCTGCATGCACACATAAGATATTATAATTGCTTTTCTTGTTGGCCTGAATGATTGGGTGAAAATCGTAGTAGTATTACTGCAGTACTACTGCTTACATCTATACGAATCTGCACTTTTCAATTGGAGTCTGAAACTCTGAGTTGGAAAGAGCAAGCAAGGCTGCTGTGCCTGTGGCTCATGTTGCACTTACTCGTGTACAAATTTGTATTCCATTGTTTTTCACTTCACGTAAAAATGGGTACAATTAGTAAAATTGATGTAGTGTGATATAAAAGCTGGAAAATTGATTAAAATACTCTTAAGTTAGAATCGGCTAGCACTATGAAATTCACTGGGAATTGAGAAAACATCGAAGTTTATTGATTGAATGATAAAAAAGATTGAAAATATAATTAACTCCATTAGTTAGGTTAAACAGAAAACATAAAACCCTAATTTGTGGGAAATTATGAATGTTTCGTAATATTCCTAATTACTTATTCACGTTTCATAACCCAAAAGAAAAACAGGTAAGAAATATCTACTAAATTTAAGAAATACTTGTTAACTATTCTCAACATACTATATATGCAAGAGTGCTCAAAACGCTAAACAGTTACTAACCTAATACAAGGTTAACCATACAAAATGAATGCCCTGGAGAAGAAAAAGCTGTCACAAACAAATCATTTATAATGGTTTTGTTAAAGCAGCTGAAAGCGAGACATGCAGTGCAGTTTGAGAGCAACAACTTGCGCATATTTTTATAAAATTCCACAAGATGTGTGACAAGGCTTAAAAGAATTTTGCAGAGATGGGGCTCATAAGAGAAAAAAACTTTATCTGCAGGGCCATCTGTAGCCCTGCTAATTGCTCAACTTGTCTAGTCCTCTTCCTTGGAGTATTATGTATCATATATCTAGCTAGGTTTTCATTGGCTAACTGCATTCGGGATGGATCAGCTGCTGACAGCTGCTGGGACCTTATGCAGTAATCAATGAGGTGGTGTTATCTACACACCTCATTTTCTATCTCACATATTTCTTTCAATTTCTAATCGTCAGATCGAATAAATTGAAAAAGATAAAAAGACATAAATTAACATGGAATGTGTAAGAGGTAAAATGAGTGTGTGGATAACACCACCCTAATCAATAATCTACTATTTATTTTCTTTGGTCTCAGCCTCTCAGGCAACCAAATCGTAAGTATAAGGTTAAAAGATAGGGTTCGCAGGGAATTGGAACATTCAAAGTTTCAAACATATATGGGCCTCTAATGATGTTATCTTATACTGATTGGTTTCGTCCATCTTGACCATTTGAGATTGTGAAGAGTCTCTGGCCCTTGTAGTTATCAAGATATGCTTAAGGCCCAAAGGTATTGGAATTTGGAAGGAATCCTATAAGCGTGCAAGACTCATGAGTAGATCGGTTCTTTCTTTGTAAATAAAGTATCCATATACCTTTACGACAATTACATCGACAATACGTCACAATGAGTTTAGTATCGGACACACCATATACATATACATATACATATGTGTGTGTGTGTGTCTATAATATGTATATGTACTTGTCCTCACATTTGTGTGAATTGAAACACACTTCCACACCCCCCCCACCCCTTTCTCCCCCCAAAAAAAAACGAAAACCATCTTCTCCCCCAAAAAAAAACGAAAACCAAGTAGAGACCAGCTGCCACTAGACCGGCCTCACATTTGTGTGTTAATTGAAACTCCCACCATCCCCTTTGAAAACCAAGTAGAGACCTGCTGCCACTAGACCGTCCGATCATTTGCGAATAAAGTATCCATGAACAATTGAATTTTTTTGGCCAAACTCATCTTGAAATTGATTCTGGTGGATATGCTTTCCTACAAGTAGTCATATTTGATCGTGGAAAATGGTGTGCACACAAGAAAAGCAAGGCATATATGCTATATAAACAGATTAAAGCAAGGGTGTGCAACATCGTTCACGGCACTTCGGTATGTAGAACATGCAAGTTAATCAAATCCAAAGGACCAAACTGAAGACAATCGCCCAAAAAACTAGTACCGAAATTTGCAGATTTCTCGGTCACTTGTATCGTCTTTTCTGTTACGTATACATATTTTGGTATTTAGTTAGATTGTAATTCAAGTTAAAAAGTATTTATTTTTACACTCGAGATTCTAGGTTCTCTCTAGTATGGTTTGTATCAAAATGAAAAAAAAATCGTGAACCACGTTTCGTGTTCCAAAGAAGGAATTGGATCCCATCCGGATCCACTTTGTTCTTAGTCATTCATTGTGTATCGTACGGTCAAAAATCATTTGACTTTTTTTTTTAATTTAAAATTAAACACAAATAGTATCGGACGAAAACTGACCGTATTATGTACGATGTATAGTTAGAATGTGGAAATCCCTAAGATCCCCGCAAAGTGAATCCGGAAATGATACTCTTCCCCGTAAGAATTCCTACTTCCTTTGTCATTCTGCTTTCTAAAAGCATAAACAGAGAAAATTCCACCTTCCACAGCTATAAGATATGATTGGCATTGATTCATTTTCTTCAATGTTTTTACCTCCAGCACAGCACAAATGATGTTTTGCGATGGTGTGAAGGTGGGGGCAACGTTGGTGCGGTAGTTAGCGGTGCAACATAAAAAAGAGGAGGATTCTTTTTCCTCCTAATCTTTCTCTCTTCTTCTCTCTTCTCATATTTTTCTATTTAAACGGTTACGGTTAAGTTACATTAATATATAAATTGGTTTTTTATTTTTATTTTATTATTATTATTATTATTATTATTATTATTATATATATATATATATATAGACAATAATACAAAAAAAATAATGTGTGAGAGGAAAAGAAGAAATTTGATGGAAATAGAAGGGGAGAAGATCTTAATCCCATAAAAAAACATGGATCCGTCTGCTCCTTTCCAAAGAACACAATTGAAGTACCATTCCACCGAGATCTAGCTAGTGTCCTTTATTTATCTAATTATGTTTGCAACTTACAATTAAAGTGCATTGTTTAAACAAACAAATGAATAAGGCTCGTTTGGAAATGTTTTAAAAATAATTGAAAAGTGTTTTTAGAAGAAAAAAATGTTTTTAGATTCTAAAAGAACTTGAAGTGTTTTCTACAAGAAGCACGTAACTTAAAGTGTTTTTAGGTTCAAAAAAAAAAAAATATTTTAAAAACATTTTCACCAAAATATCTACTTCCTAAGAGACCAAGACCAACACCAAAAACCCTTCAATTTGTTGACCGGCAGAGGTGCAAATTGTTCAACAATCTCAAAAGCCAAAACTAGTCGTACTATCTTCTACGTCTGCCCATCTACAACGACAATGATAGGGACCGGCACCTACTGATTTTCTTAGTGGTGGCAACGGAACAGAATTCTAAGGCTACCGTGGAACTCAAACAAAATAAAGATAAGACTCATTCAAATGAGGTTAAGCCATTTAATTTGTATTCGTTTCATCAATATTGCTCATGTGGCGAAAAAACTCTTAATATTACCTTTGTGGTTAACTCTATTATTGCTATTCAGTACTACAGTTTTGTGGTATTCCTTTTTACTTAGATGTAAGAGGTCTTAGGTTTAAATCTTGTGGACGACGAATTCGATACCAAATTAGGCTATCCATGTGTGACTTAGCTGACCTTTCTCTTCCTTTAGTGTAAAAATACCGATGTACTAAAAAAAAAAAAAAAAAAAACCTCTGTTATTAATTTCAGTTCAAATTGAACATACAATCCTACCGTTATCACTATCTAAGAATTACTTTCAAAGATGACATCATGTGTTTTGTTTTTTAATGGACCAACTAGTGATATCATCACGGTAGTTTACTCTTCTGAAGGTCGGAAAGACTCATAAAGACATTTCAACCTCTCCATGATCATTATCATGTGATTCACAATGACAAAAATTGAACTCAAGACATACCTTGTGGAATACAATATATGTCAGGAATTTGTCCTCTATCATTAAGTCACCTCTTCGTGAATAAGATGACCTTGTGTTTAAGTAGCTCTAGTTAGGAAGAAATTTCACTATCCTAGAGGCGGACCATGTAGCTATGCGAGCATGCGCTCACACAGAGAGAGTTGTCTGTTTGGAACACGCACTCAAACTCACCTGATAGGCTAATTGTCTATGATGCCGTACGCAGATAGTCGGGCAAAGAACTCCCTCCAAATTAGGGCAGTGTACCCATGTATAATTGGAAGTCAACTTTGAGAGTACTACTGTTAGCAAAAATAATACATACAATTAGTAAGTAAGAAAACAAATGTATGTTTAAGTGTCGCATTATTTTATGTTGAGATCACGCGGTTTGTGGGACAATGGAATCGAAAAGCATACCAAAAACCGCGTAGTGCTGGAAGATGTAATTTGGAAGATTTTACCAAAGACTTTGATAAGACGACAAAGTCAGTTCTTCTCCTTGCTCTTTGCCTCCTCGTCTTCTTTCTTCTTCTTCTTCTCCTTCTCCTTCCTTATCATTTTCTTCTCCTTAGTAGCTGAAAAAAAAAAAAAAAAAAAAAAAAAAAAAAACAGAAAAAATGGCGGTAACCACCGTACTTTTATTAGCAGTCTTATTCATAGCTGGCCTCGTCAATATTTTCTTTCGTTTTCCCACCACCAAGCTCCTTGCTTGGTTTCAATCTTTGTCCAATCCCTACTCCACTCCTACTACCACTCCAAGCAAGGACAAAGATAATCTTGTTGTGAATAGTATTAGTCCGCAACCAAAAGTAGCAGATCAGGCGGCGGAGCTGAAGCAAATGTTTGCCACATTCGACAAGAACAGTGACGGGTTCATCACAAAGCAGGAGCTCAAGGAGTCACTGAAGAATATCAGGATTTTTATGAGTGATGCGGAGGTGGAAGAAATGGTGAAGAAGGTGGATGCTAATGGAGATGGGTTGATTGACTTTGATGAGTTTTGCATGCTGTGCGGGTCCATGCGCCGTCGGGATGATGGGGGAGTGGAGGGCGGGGATGGGGGAGGAGCGGAGGAGGAGCAGGAGTTGAAGGAGGCGTTTGGTGTGTTTGATAAGGATAAAGATGGGTTGATTTCGGTGGAGGAGTTGGCGGTGGTGTTGTGTTCTTTGGGATTGAGAGAGGGGAATAAGGTGGAGGATTGTAAGGAGATGGTGAAGAAAGTTGATAGGGATGGAGATGGTATGGTTAATTTTGATGAGTTCAAGAGGATGATGAAAGGTGGAGGACTTCTATTAGCCCACTAATTAGGTATTGATCTCTAATTAAGCTCCTACTTCCAAAGCTAGTAAGGTTTAATTACCATCATCAACTTCTTGCATTAAATGGTATGCATAATTGGCTTGAGACATCGTTTCTCAAGTTTAGGTACTCTTACCTCCAAAGATCCAATAAGTTTCATCACCCTTCATCAACTTGTTACCGAAACAACATTCATACTAGGTGATTGGATTGAGATGCCGTTTCTCAGGTTTAGGTAGGTATTCCTCGTGTCCAAACACATGCACCAAGTTGTATGGGAAACAAGAAAAACCAGACATTGATTAATTTGCAGCTTCATCTTCAACTCACAACCACCCTGTGTCATGGCATAGGATGCCATTCCTCCCTAACCAACCTTCTTCGCTGTCTCTCTCTAAAGTAGTAGCCTTCATTGCTGTCTCTCTCTAAATTAGTTTATTTTAACTTTTCATTGGCAGACAGACCATCATGGTCAATGCCCTTATGGGTTTTCAATAGACATTTACCTTTTACCCCCTCTTGCTGTGTGATATTATTATCTGTAATATTTCTCTCCAACCTTGATGAGTTCAACAGCATATGATGTATTGCAATTCTTTTCTATACAAGCAATATCGGGAAGAATGAAATTGAACTCGAAATCAAAATCTTGAGACAAAAGGTGAATAGTCCTAGCCAACTGAGCAACAAACCGCTTGTTGAATGCTCTTAACTAATTGAGTTATAAGCCGTTTACAATGTTTTGTTTTGTGTGTTATAGTTTCACACAACTGTCGTCAGCTTGAGGCCAAAAAGAAAAACAGATGTTGTCAGCAATTTAAATATTTTTTAAGCCTGTGAAGTTTCCAAAAACTCATCTCTAGGCCATGTTTGTAGTTTTCTGTCTAGACATGTGCCCAATTGTAAATTTCATGGCTGGCTGAAAGCATATTGTGAATAAATCAATACAGCCTAGGATCTTCGTTGGCATTTGCATTAAAAAAGGAACAAAAGCAAAAGCCAAAAGAAAAAGTTAAAAGGGATCATTATATATATATTTCTAAACGATTAAGATTGTATATAAAATATTTGAATAATTGTAAAAATCAAATTTCTCAGCTAAAACAATTGTGGCATTGAAGCGACATCCGTATTTCTGCTGCTATATCAAAATTTTCTGCAACATAGAATAGTGCCGTCTTCATGAAGCAATTTCCCTGTCCATCGAGTAATCAAAGTGATTCAGAGAAAGTCAAGTTTATGGTGCGAAAGAGATCCCTTGCATGTACGAAACGGCAAATTCATATGGAGGTGGATTCTCTACCCTTCTATTCTCATCCCCTTCCATCACCTCATCTTATATATTATTTTTTATCTTATTATCTCTATAAAAAAAATTAATATAAGATGTTAATGTGGCTTAACCGTGACCGTTCAAATAGAAGGGTATGAAAGGGTAAAGAGATTAAAAGGGTAGAGAATTCTCCTCCAATTCATATTCCCACTTACTTATTTTTGGTAATCAATTCCCACTTACTTTTTATATACAGAAATTCAAACGATTTTGAGAAAATAAATTTCGTGGACAGGACCTCAAGTTGAGTGCAGTGATAAACACTTTTAATTACTTAAGCTACAAGTCTCTTACAGACCACACAACTTATTCACATTCACCGGCGAACAACCCGGGATAGATAGAGGTAGAATACCAGAGAGACCGTACTTTTCAAAGTTTCTCTTTCATCCTTCAATACCTCACGAAACCCCGGCCAAAACCACACGTCCGGGTTTCCCTGCCCATCGAAATGGCATTTGGAAGTGTTGCTGGCTTAACGTTTAGGTTTCGGCATAGAGCAAAAATCGGGGAAAAGGACAAGGAATGAACGATGCCCACGGAAGCAAAGATGCCATTCACAGATGATAACTGAGATCAAATTTTGGATCTGTACGGTCACTTGGTGGACACAAAAAATTGTAGAGGATGCATGGAATGTACAAGAATTCAGCCGACGAATTCGATTGAATAACAGGGTTTAAAGCATAAACCATCTTTAATTGAAGTATAAAGATACAATTAAATCACTAAATGTTTCTTCCTATAAAACCTACATAACATCATTGTGCCTTCAAATAATTCCGAATTACAGACATCGGCCAAATGGCAACCAGAACATATCCCTGACTTCCGTCTTTCAACGAAACTGAGTTGTGATTTCCCAATCAACACAAATACAGTTTGAAGTGCCTTCATGTCATTAAAACTTACACACGAAAGCACGTGATCCATCCACAAAGCCGAAGAAACGTTTATCTGTATACAAATTCTTTAGAAAACATCCGGATGAAAATGCCCTGGGATGGAGCTGCTTTGTTGTGCCTGCTTTAGGTGCATTGTAAGTGCATAGTTGTTCACCTGATAAGGTATAAAAGAAGTAATCAAATGATGGTGATCAGCAACAAAGAATTTAGAAAACTTAAGCAAGCAATGACCAGGATGAAGAATCAACTTAAAAAGGAACGGTAACAGGCTAGCAAGGAGATCATGTAATGAGCTGTTTGTATAAAGCAAACAAGACCATGTTCTGCTCCCAAACTTCCATCGAAATATAAGCTTGTATAGTGATTAGGTTCCTGAGCTCAACCTCGAGGGTTCTCAATTGTTCCTGGTACTGGGCCACCAGTTGCTTCAGATGCTGCAATTCCTGGCCTCTATCTTCAAACTCCTTCTGCCGTTCATGCTGAGTGGATACAGCCCGCTTTAAAATTGTATTTTCCTGAATAATAGCTTCCAATTGTTCCTTCAGCATCATATTTTCCTACAACAAGGAAAAACAAAAGTACAGCTAAAGCCATTATGTAAAAAAAAAAAAAGGAAAATTAATAGATGTTGCATCCTCAAACATTCTCCCGGTTTTCAACTAAATGCCAAGGGAAGAAAAAAACAAGAAGCAACTAGACAAAGAGACATATATTGGACATGCAATATATGTAATTAAGAGGTCATACCTGGCGAAAGCTTTGGGCTACCTCTGTGGTTGCACGAGCACTAATAGACTTCTCCAAAGCCTCAAGCACCCTTGAAGCACGAGCTTTAGCATCGTCCATGTTAGAGGCACTCATCATCTCTCTGACAACAAGCTCCACCCACTCTGCTCCATCCTTGGGAAGGTTATTTTGCACTGATGGATCATCAATAATTGCAACCTCTCCATTTGTTGCTACCGCACCTGAAACAAAATATTGATCCACCCCCCTTAATGTCTACACTACTAGCAAGATTACCAAAAAACTTACAGATTCACTTCTTGAAAGACTGTCACAGTGGTAAGCCCTGTGGAAGGTGAGACAACGATATAACTTTGTAGGTAAAGCAAGAAAGTATCTGCTCATACTTTGTGATTGGAGTTGCACATTTGCTTCTGGCGCTATATCAGATTTTCCTGCTGCAGAACCTAAACGTAGCTCATTCAAACTTTTGATAGCCGAATCCAAATCACCACCACATTCTTCAAGTGCTCCCTCCAGAAGCTAGGATAATAATTTCAAAATGCTTAGTAACTTGTCATCTTAATTAACTAGATATGATGCACATCCTCCAAAGTCGAAGGATATTAAGAATCTACGACAAGAAAAACAAAAATAGCACGTATATGCATGCAGAGTTTCAATTACGGGAGGTCACCAATCACGTTGGGTTGTTGATCGAGTTACACAACAAATGTCAATGCAACCAACAACATTGAAGGGGCAGCGTACATCCGTGTCACACATGTTTAACTCCCTGTATAGTGTGTGTATATATACACACAAGCGCACACACATACGTATCTGTATGTAAACATACACTTCATGGCAGTCGGAAAATCAGAAATGCAACAAAGCAAATATGCCAGAGAACGAAGATTTAATATAAAAAAAAAATGATAGAGAAACATGTAATATGCCACGAAATGATCAACTAGACTCAAACCAATTATCATAAAAACAGCCCGAACACACGAAAATGCAAGAGGGATTCCATTTGTAGTTTCACAATTGAACTAAACAATTCAAGGTAATCATGGCATACGAAATTCGGGTACGCCGAAAACTAAGAAAATGCGTTCCCTTTAATACTGGGCATTTAAATTAGGCTCGCTAACCCAATCCGGTCCTATCCAATCCAATCCAATCCAATCCAAGCAATCAAATTTATCCCTTCGAATGATGCATACAACAATAAAAATCAACAATTCCAACATAATTACACAGAATTGATTAATTAATGAAAAAAAGAAGAAGAGAAAAATGAATGAAATGTGAACCTGGTTGTCCATGTCCGGGAAAACGGCCCTGAGGTGTTCGATCAAATGCGAGGCAGCAAACGACGTCGTGGAGGGAGGAGAGAAGCGAACAGGGGAGGAAGAAGAAGAGCAGCGGATTCTCTTGGAAGCGGAGGAGACGGGAGGGGAAGTCGACGGCAGCGAGTTGTCTTCGAAAATCGATGATCTCTTCCCGCACACTACGGCAGACATGTTTTGCCTTCTCTCACTCTCTCTCTTCTTCCTCCTCCCTCTCCCCCGCCGTCGGCTTCCTTCTCATGCAGCGCACCGTTTCGATTTCAGTTTTCCCCCAATTTCCAACCCTAATTTCCGATCCAGATCGCAACCCCCTCCAATTCCAACCCCTAATTTCCCCAAATTTGGCAACAATTACAATTTCAAAGTTTTATGGGGAGAGAAATATAATATCGGGAAAGTATTTAATCGGACATTGAATCTTTGGTGCTTCTGTGTTGCTTTCTCCCATGGGGCTTTTGGCTTTTGGAGTTTCCCTCCAGAGCGGATCACCGGTAAGGAGATTGGTGATAGAATAACGCCTGGTTCACGAGGGCCACGAATCAGATGACGACACGTCAGAGAAGAATGGTTGTTAAGTTTGTTGGTGGGGTACGTGGATGGTCTCTATTGGGCAGTGCTTGAGAGTGTATGGGAAGTTGGAGGTTGGGTGTGTGACGTTATCATGTCGTGAGTTTTCTTATTATCTTTTGCTTTGTTTGACGTTGCTCGGTCGTTTGGTTCAAGGAGCCGGCGCCGCCCTGGATTGCAAGTCAATTAAATCCTCTCTCGCTCTACGTTTTCCATTTTTTAATGATTTTTTATGGGCTGGGTAAGAGGCCCAACCCAAAGTCAAGCCTACGTATACTTGCAATTGCACATTATTTTACAGTTTTATTGATGGTGATATTTATCAGACGTCGGTCTGACTGTCTTTTTTTACAACATTGATATTTTGCATTAAAGAGATGAGAGTTCGATTAAACCATATAATAGATAGCTTAATTTGGTATCGAATTCGTCATCCACAAGATTTAAATCTAAAACCCTCTCACTTCCAAGCGAAGAGGAATACCATCAAACCATAGTACTGAGTGGCAAATACAACTATATTTGAATGTGTTATTTGAAATGCTATATTCTATGGTAGAAGAGATTTTTCAATGTGTTTGGAACACGTGGTACATTATATGTTATTATACAAATAGAATGAAGTTTTTTTCTTTCAAGTGTTCATCTACTTGTATAATGACATATGACGTATTTTCTCATATTCAGGCAGACTCAAAATTATCTCCTATGGTGGAAGTGTGATTTTAAATTGACTCACCCCCTTCACAATCCGACTGTTCTGGATCCTTCAAATATTTAGGGTTTCCATTCCATGGTTTTTCCCTGAGTTCCGGAGGCAAGATTAGCATCATTGGAAGTTGGAACCAAAAAAGTGCTCCAGCAATAAAAATTGGATGTAAATTAATAGACTGGAGAGTGTGACCCAACGAATGACAACCACCAACCTCCACTGAGTTGAAGGTGACGATGGAATGGGGCTTCGTGTTCTGATGCACAGACTTGGCTTTTCAGATGGTGGAGTGAAAACTAGTAAAAAGAAGCATATAAACCCTAGCATCAAATCACATACTCTTAGGATTATTATCCCCAAACCCCAGCATGATACCATATTTGATGCATGAAATTCTCCGAATTTGGTGGCGTTGGTTCTAACCATTCATACTTGTATGACTCACAAAGTCAGAATAGTTAAAATCTTAATTGAAACGCATGCACGACTAATCTTAACACTTTTGTAAAAGCTTTACTCATATTAAATATGATGGAGCTTGATAATATGTATGATTTGAGTTGGATGTTGTTTGTCCAGATAATTCATGCTTACGAGACTCACAAGCAGAAAACGACCATAATCAGCCCGGCGCTATCACGATTGATCCCACCACTAGGCTTGATCATACGCATGATCTAATTTGGGGTCCTACATGTTGGCCAATATATGGCTCCTTGTTACCAAGTAAGTCCCAACTTGAAAAGGGTTTTGGTATATTTGCTATGCAGGGCATATGTGGTTTTCACAATTCAATTCATTACACATCCTCCATCTTTCGCCTCCTATTGTCCTACAATGCAAAGCTTTCAGATTTTGGTTTGGCGAAATCCCGGTTGAGGGAGACAATACGCATGTTTCTACTAGGGTTGTTGGAACATATGGCTGTGCTACTCCAGAGTATGTTAAGGAAGATCATAACAGATGGTTCAAATTTTTCGAGACATTCGAAATTGATACAGTACAATCCTTATGTAATACTTAGAAGTTTAAGAAGACTGATAGCTATCATGTATGTTTTACGGACAAGGATTGTCTACCCTCCCGTACCGTCCTATTTTGTAGTGGTCACGGTTAAGTCACGTCAACATTTTATATTATTTTTTTTATAGAGATAATAAGATAAAAATGAATAGTAATATAAAATGTTGACGTGATTTAACCGTGACCGAACAAACAGGAGGGCACGGGAGGGCACCAGAAGTGGGAGGGCAGACAATCATTGTCCATGTTTTATATGTATTACATTCAAAGAAAAGAGAGTCAAACCTTAAGAGCAAAGCACTCGGGAAATATGAATGTCCAAATGAGCTTAGCTAGGTGAACTTATTTTTTAATCCTATTGGTTCAGAACATAATTAACTCAAAGATCTCTGTATGAGTTTCTTGTTTCATAAGAAATTGGAGGTCTAACCGGTACAATTTGTGTTCCCTTCGTTTTCGCAGGACACTTGACATCTAAAACTGATGTGTATACTCAGGAGAAAATAGAGCCTTGGTGTGGTTTTAGTTAAGATTTGAACAGGAAGAAGATCCAAGGACAAGAAATGCCCTAGCAGAGAACAAAACCTTGGGGCATGGGCTCGGCCACATTTAGCTGACAAGCGAAAGCTTTCCTTTCTAGTGGATCCACGCTTGGAATTGAACTACTCCATTAAAGGGGTCCTGAAGGTCTCACAATTGGCTTACAGCTGCCTTAGTAGGGACCAAAATCCCACCCTACAATGGATAAAGTCGAGAGGGTTCTTACTCCGTTGCAGGATGTCAATGACCTCGCCATTTTATCTCATAATTCTCGTTTATCTCAACAAGGAAGGCGAATGAAGAAACCTGACGGAACTCACCAGCTCACCTACAGCCAGTCTAAGAGCATCAGAGACTCTCCGTTAAATACTGGCAAGCAGCAACGCAGATGATTGTTGCGCTTAGTCAATCCCTTTCCTGGACTGCAGACTTGACACACGATTGAATGAAACAAAGGTCGCCTTTTGTTAACGGTTGTATATGAAATCTTCGAGCCAAAGTGACAAGTGGAAGAGGCTAGGAGAGCTCACATCTGATATTTTGGAATCATCATTCATCACGCCTACGTTTCATTTGAGATATATATTTGCAGCTAATTAATGTCAGCCACTTTGATCGAAATTTTGCAGTGTTATAAAACATATAGGCGAACGATCAACGTGATTTATATGAGTGATGGAAGTAAGGTATAATATTAAGGGTGGTGCTATATATCCACACACCCTTTTTTACCTTCCATATACATCTCTCAATTTTCGGTCATCAAATCAAATGATTTGAAGAGAATCAAAGAACATAAATTAAGATGAGTGTGTATGACGTAAAAAGAGACGTACATGAATAGCATCACCCTATTAAGAAATAGATTTATGTTTTGTACCATGAACAGATTTGTAATACCACATGGCATTACAATAAAAAACTTCTGGAAATTTCAACTTTTTTATTCTCTCTTACATTAAAATTTATTGAAACTTGCTGTAAACATACAGATGAAGACAGATATAATCCTCTTATGATCTACCATTTCGATACATAAAGCCCTGGCTTTCATCTGCATCCTCTCCTCTCTTAGTCATGCTGCACCTTCCTATAGGTGTACATATATGCTCTCTGCAGAGTCGGATTTCAAACTGAAGCTGATCATCTGGAGATCTAGTAACCTCGATTTCAGTTTTCGTAATCGATCCATGAAATATTTCAACAATTTACAATTCTCTGCTGGTTGTTCATTGGGCTGTACACATGATTTTAACTAACAAGTTCCCTGTGATTCTTGCTATATACAACTATAAACAACGCACATGCCTTAATAAAAAAATGAAAGAATCGGATTTCTCAAGTGGAAGCATTCGTCTACAAACCCTAATATTGCATGCATGCATGCATACAAATTATTCATGTGTGATTGTCATTCATCATCATCACAACTTCACCAGCTGTTCATAAGTAGAGATGTCACATATCCTTTTCCTCCACAACCCTATCCGCCGCTTTTCTCGCTCATACTTAATTATTGAAGCATGTCGAACAAAAAATATCTGCACATTTTAAACCAAAATTACAATATATCATTAAATCTTGGAAGTCAAGAAAAATTAGATGAAAATTCAAGGAAATTTAGTAAAATAATCAGAAATGAAATCTCAATTGTTGAATTGATCAAAATCAAATATTGAAGACAATACTGATCAAATATTGATAACATAACAATAGAATATTTGATGATATATTGAAAACTGATCATTTCAGCAATTGAGATTTAAAAATTAAATCATTTGTTCTAATTTCTCAAAATTCAAAGCAGAAGTTTAAAGGTGACAATAATATATAGCTAGACAACCTTATCGCCATCTTTGATTCCAAAAGGTCGGATTAATGCTTTGTAATCGAGTAGCTTCTGACCTTCATAGCATAAGCAAAAATTACCCCACACATGTGACCTATTCGGAAATTTCAATAGTTACTTGAATCACTTTTTTCTTGTATAAATATATTAAAGAAATTGTACAAAATATATATACCTTCTAGTTACTTTAAAACAAACCAAATCCATGCCGAGATTGTATTCATACGTACCATGAAATCATTTCATCTATCGACGACTGACTAAAAACATCTTTCACTGCCTCGTTCAGTTCGGCCACGGTCGCCGTCTTCGAAACTTGAATCTCTGCCTCCATTGAGAAGAAGAAAATCAATTAATCACAACACACACGATGCATGTACGTACGTAAAAAGCATGATCAGCGCATGATATTAAATTTATGTACCAAAGCTAGAACCATCCAATTTGATGACGAAGAGCGTAAGCGGCTCCTGGGGCAGCTTTTGGTAAGCATGGTTCTTCCGACCGCTGCTGCTGAGCAGTCTCCGCGGAGATAGAGATGCCGGAAACAGGCTGCAAGCGGCGGCATTCGTGGCCAACTCTTGTTCACAAATATCCACCTCCATTTTCATGCACAAAAACCAACTCAAGAAACTAAATTTCCTCAGCCTCAACGAGACGTGCCCTAAAATTTAATTACAAAATAAAAGTTTGTTGGGAGTGTTTGATGGAGTTAATTACCTAATGGAAATATATCAGAAACAGAACGTGTTTTCAACGCGTCAACTTAACTGCTCTGATGGGAAACTCAAGATTTTAGGTCCATGACTATGTCATAACCATGAATAAAGCAAATAGGTGGTACATCCATCAATTTCTAAACCCTACATGCTCGGCTGTATTTTTGGGCCGGGGCAGAATTTAGATTAATGGTCAGAATTTAGTCTAAAAACTAAAAATATGGGTGGCGGTGGTTGCATATAAATATGGGTAGCGGTGGTTGCATATGTGCCTCTAACTCAAATGGTTGACCTAATTAAAGAACAAAAAGAGATATTCTACGGAGATTATCTTAAACTAAAATTTTTTTATGGACCTTTTGACACTTCACAAGTTAATGTGAATTTTCATGCTAATATTTTAAAATATTGGACAAAAAATATGAGGTGGTAGAGAATTTATGAAGAGTCTCAAGTCTCCATTTCACAACAAAATAAAAAAAATACAGAAAGAAAACGTTAGGTTAGTGTGAACGTGTATAACTAACCAGGGTCAAGAAGAACAAGTATCGTGAGGGTACAAAGAGAACTTAATTTGAAAGGAAAATTAGTTATATTGACATACAATGCTCAAGCAATATATATAATTTGAAAAACAAAAGTTCATCATGCTATTTTAACATTAAATTTGATGATTCCATTACTTTCCTATATTGGCCTATACGGTTATTTTTCTAGAGAAAGAATGAGAATAATAATATGTTTCTCCAAATTTAGGAAGGTAATTAGCTCTTCTGTCTTAAAAAAAAGTAGGGAAATGCTAGGAAGATTATGTTTTAAAATCATATTTTGTAAATCATGTGATGCGGTAGTTGATGATTGGATTATTTCTTTGATGATTCAGAGAAGAAATTTAATCATCAGTCGCCACATAATATGGTTCAAGTAGATGATCTTTTAGCATCACCCAAAACAATATTGTTCTACATATGACATTAGTTACCATGGGAATTTTTCACTTTAATGAACTCTAAAAAAAATTACTTCTGTGACTATATTTAATTTTTGTTCAAAGAATGTAAGTTACAAAAATGTGCATGAAAGCAGTATGATAGTATAAACTCTCATTAAGTATAGATGATAAGGGAATACTACATTTGAAGTTGAATGTACGTTACTATGTGCAGAAAGTTGAGGTTCCATCATAAAACTAATTGACAATATGGAGAGTAGCTTAACTTACTTACTGGCCCATACAATGTCCCTCCTCCCATCGATATGAGATTCACTTTCAACACACCCCCTCAAATGTGACAAATTTTCAAGTCTAACACCTGAACAACCCAAATGGGGTGACGTGGAGCACGTGTGGCCATTTGGCTTCACACATGGGACAACCTGCTCTGATACCATGAAGAAAGTTGAGTTCCACCATAAAATCAATTGCCAATAATATGGGGAGTAACTCAACTTACTTATAAACCCGTACAAGGTCCCTTATCCAAGTGAGATTCATTCTCAATACTATGTTAATCAATCAAAAGTAAAACCAGATATTCGAACCATAAACCAACAATCACAAGAGAGAGGGAGGAAGATTGCATATCTGTGATCGATCTCTCTAGATCGAAGACTGCTTGGAATCAGAATTATGAACTAGTAGATGACCCGTCGATTAGCTCTCCTGCTTCAAGTTCGAATTTCCACTCTTATTTTGTTGATAAAGAAAGACTAATAACTAACAAATAGAAGTATAAATTCGGTCAGGAATAACATTAAACCATGCGATATCTTGCAACAAGTCACATAAATTAGTCCAGCTAGTCCAGAAACCCTAAATCAGTTAATAAAAACCTGATGAAGTTAGAGAGGAAAAGCAATTGATTTAGTTATGAATAAGCAACAAATAATTAAGAAAGTGATATTGGCGCGGCTCAATCTGAGATCAATTTACGCCAGCGGGGATGTGTAAATCTGTCTTCGGATTGAACCTCACCAACATCGCTTTCTCCCTGCTGCTTCTCAAACATGCATATCCATGCCATAAAAATGAAGATAAAACAAGCTACCATAAAAGAGCAGATGTTCTTTCACCATGAACCCGAAAGCACGTCAAGTCGTTGAAGAAATGTGGACAAATCTAAAGAGTTTGTAGCGGTCTTTTTGCCTTTTGAGCAGGGCTAGCTGCCTACCCTTGACCTAATAAAAGGGGCAAAAGTACTTGAATTAAAGAATACCAAATATGGTCCCATGTCGGCTCCATCAAACCAAATTTATTTTCTTTTACAAAGCGATTTTTAATTCACTCTAAACTACGAGATGAGAGATTCGATCTTAAATGTAAAGGAAGGAGTACATATTGCTCTAACCAACATAACTACACATTTACGACCAAATTAAAGAACAACGGTTAGAGAATATTTTTTAGGTAAATTCCTATGGAGAAAAATTAAACTAATTAAGGTGGCTGCTAGCTTAGTGGGGTGGAAGGGTCAAAGGTATATAGTGGATTGTAGGGTGTCGAATTGGGGTCAGTATTTGTTGAAGTGGGTTTGTGGGATCCATAAAATATTAATAACTTGCATCTAATTAGCACCATCGAGTCAAATGCTTTGGGCAATAACATTTTATATTCCACACCATAAAAAATAATGCAGACACAAAAATATCGATAGCTATTGAAGTGGGATTTTAAAATCATGCATGATACAAACATTACATGCAGCAATAAGAAAGATATACAAGAGAACAAAAATCTGAATACAATTATAGCACAGATGGGATATCTTCTAGAAACAGCCGTACATGATATCTTAGCTATATACATATATTTACATATAGACTTATATATGTAGATATCTATATACACACACTATGGTTATGGATTTAGGTTAACAGTTGTCAAAACAAACAAATGCAGAGTTTTTGAGCTAGTTAACAAGTGTGCCATATATATAACAAAAGAAACAGCTATCTGCAGGATGAGAGAGAGAGAGAGAGAGAGAGAGAGAGAGAGAGAGAGATGAGGGAGAGGTGAAGAGGGAAGGGATGGAGAGGGATGAGAATGTATACTGGTAGGTTTTACCTCGGGATGAGAGGATATGGGAAGGGGGAGAAGAAGAAGAAGGTGAGTGGAATGATGTGAATGGGGAGCAACACTACTTTAGGGTTTGTCATGCTTAGTTTGTACTCAAATAAATCAACCAACTTCCCCTGCGCATGCACCTGAAATATTCTCCCACCAAAATACCAAAACAGCTCCTTTAATGCACCTCTCTTTCTACAATATTTTATCAATATTTCAGACCCCCACCCTTTTCAATTTAATTAGTATGTCATGCTTTTCTTCGATGATTAATTATTTAATCTAGGAATAAGATGCTTGGCTTATCTGTAATACATACACAACTGTATTGCATTTAGTCATTTTTTAAAGTTGTTTGATCAATTTTTATAGAACACTCATACCAAATTTAATCTAAACTACATGAAATTTTAAAATTCTTCATCCAAACATGGCATAACGGATAATTTGCAACTTTGCATGATACACAATTGGTATATCATTATCATATACTGAAACAGTAACAGAAAGTGAGATGAAAATATAGCTCGCAGCATATTTAGGCCTCCTACTATTATGCAAACTTAAGTTAGACCTAAGTGGCACTTGGTACGTAGTGCCCAAATAAGTATAAAGAATGTACAGGTATAGAAACTAAAATGATGGTGTAGACATCAAAATTTCGGTGAAATGAATGTTGACCAATAATTAAAATTTCAATGTTCACGTGTCACATAAATTTTACATGTAGCGTGTGATTCAACGAAAAATCGAAATAAATTGGAAAAGTCATCAAATATGACACGTGTCAATACCTGGCAGAAATGATTTATTTCATCTGATTATTTAAATCCAAAAATCAAGTTTTGGAATTCTATAAATAGGAGGCCAAAGGCATTCATTTGGGGGGAGAAGGAAGGGAGGAAAGAAGAAAGAAGGAAGAAAGAAGGAAGAAAGGCAGAAGCCTTGAAACTCTAAAGCTCTCAAGCAAATCCCGAAGGATCGAGAAAGCAATCTTCGTTCATCATCCATCAACCTTCAAGATCAAGCCCCAACGGCCCTTGAAGAACATCCACCAACCTTCAAGATTAAGCCCAAAAGCCCTTGAAGATCCGCTCATCCGTTCATCCTTCAAGATCAAGCCCCAACGGCCCTTGAAGATTCATTCATCATCCGTTCAACCAACTCAAGATCAAGCCCCGACGGCCCTTGAAGAACTTCCACCAACTCAAGATCAAGCCCCGACGGCCCTTGAGGAAAGTGTTCATCATCCATCCGTTCAATTCAAGATCAAGCCCCGACGGCCCTTGAAGAACTTTCACCAACTCAAGATCAAGCCCCGACGGCCCTTGAGGAAAGTGTTTATCGTTCATCATCCGTTCAATTCAAGATCAAGCCCCGACGGCCCTTGAAGAACTTCCACCAACTCAAGATCAAGCCCCGACGGCCCTTGAAGAAAGTGTTCATCGCTCATCATCCGTTCATCCTAAGATCAAGCCCCAACGGCCCCTTTGGATCAACAACCTCAACAAATCCACACATCCGTTCATCCTTCAAGATTAAGCCCAAAAGCCCTTGAAGATCCGTTCATCCATCAACCTTCAAGATTAAGCCCAGAAGCCCTTGAAGATCCGTTCATCCTAAGATTAAGCCCCAACGGCCCCTTTGGATCAACAACCTCAACAAATCCACACATCCGTTCATCCTTCAAGATTAAGCCCAAAAGCCCTTGAAGATCCGTTCATCCATCAACCTTCAAGATCAAGCCCAACGCCCCTTGAAGATCCATTCATCAGCTGTGCATCCTTAGATCAAGCCCCGACGGCCCTTTGGATCAACAACTCATCCACAAACCCACACCCTACGAAGATAGAATCAGAGGACCAAATTACAAAGAGATTGTAACCCCAAAATCATTAATACAAAATATTATTTTGTACACGTATTCTTGTCGCTTGTTTCAGGAATTTATCCGTGTTTACAGATGGGTCAAAAGAGAAGATGCATGCAGTCTCATGTGTGTGCAGTAGTACTCTTGAGAGAGAGAGATTGGGAACAGGAGTGCAGAATGTCAGCGAAGTGATTTAGTCTAAAAAGAATAAAGACTTTCGGAATGGAAGGAGAAGGAGTAGTACGTACAAAGTTGCTATCTTTCACACACACACAAACTTAGAGAGAGAGAGAGAGAGAGAGAGAGAAAGAAGGAGACTCACGTAAACAAAAACAAAGACAGACACACAAGTTTCAGTTAATCTGTTTAATTAATTAATTAGCATGCAAATGCAACAATACACTTGCACACACTCAGAGTGATGAGTGATGAATTTAATTCAGCAAATAGGAGGAATATGCAGCAAACCAGAGCGGGGACACCGGCGCTAAAGAAGCCCTGCCTTGGGCCTCCACTGCCCGACACTTTCCTTGGTTTTGTCTTCCCTTTTCCCTTCACCATCCACATTTTCCCTTTATTTTAAGGGCCACCTGCCTTCCCCCTCCCTCTTCTTCTCTTTGAAGCTTTTGGGAAGTGCAAAAGATCCCCCACCCCTCCTCACTCTTTTATTTAACAAATATATATTTGTTAAAAATTCTCTCTCAAAATTATAAATTAGCTTACTAGAAAGTCGTTCTCTCTCTCTCTCACTCTCATTATTTGGGGCGATAAGTTCGCGTGCCACTAACCAAGCAGATTCCCCCACGCCTTAAACCATTCCAATCCCCTTTCTCATCTTACTACATACACCAGATCCTAGGTCTTTCTCTTTGTTAGACGACTACGACTGAGAGGAGGGCCAAAGCGATGGATTTTTACGCCTGCTCTCCCTCCAAACACCACATGTATTAACAACGTACGATCACGTATTAATTATGTATAAATACGTATTAAGTACGAACAGATAGTGTAAGATATCCAAGAAATGGTGCCAAACACAAGGGGGTGTGACCAAGATATAGTAGAATATGCAGACCATAGGGTGTTTTGTGTGTAGTTGGACGGTCAAGTAGTCTAGTCGTCCACACTTAAGAATTTCTATATGTCACTCAATAACTCATGATAGTGTTGGTATCTCCAAGTGTGTGTATGAAATACGTGTTCCAAATGTATCTAGAGTATGTACTTACAAAATTTTGGTATGACCATGTAATGCATAGTTGAAACAGTATTAATGAACAATGAACAGTTTACAAGGAATATAAACTCCAGCAGTGTCAGAAGTCAGCTGAACATTTCTGGTCTAAAAATGGTCATCATCCTTTCGCTGTTGAGAGCCTTTGATTAAAGAGGTAGACAAAGAGACACCTATGGTCGACTCATAAGTGAGATTTATTTCAGGCTAAGCAGAGGGGGCCGATACCATGTTGGCGTTTTTATATTCATCAAGAAAGCAAACATACTTTCTTCAAACAGTAGTTTTTTCTTCTTCCTTCTTTTCCTTCAAACACAGAATATTTGAACCTACTTTTCTTCTCTTTTCTTTTTTTATAATTTCTTGCCTCCCACACGTCACTACAACTTTCTTTTCTTTTTGCTTTAATCTAGTTGTTTCAGCAGCAGCTGTTTGCCTTCTGGTCTATCGATCGATGCGCCACATAAGCAGCATGGATTTTGAGATAATTTGGAGTTTTGAAGGGAGAGCTCGGATCCGAAGTTGGTGAGGAGAAGGTGCAAGTTCTGTCTCATAGTCAGGCCAATTTGCATGAAATGAGGGATATTGATCATGGCTCATGGGGTGTGTTTCAATCATGCATGTCATTTAGGGCAAAGTCGCTTGTCACCTTGCCAAACAAGAGACTCCTCTCATCTGCCCACGAGAATGACTTGCAAAAAACAGATTTACTGTAATCATAATTTTATTCTATTCTATTCCAATAAAACGTCACTTGAAAATTATTCACATGACATTATATCGAATCAAAACCTCATGTGGCAATGAATCCATTTCACGTATATTGTCCTCCCTCTACACAGGCACACGAGAAAATTTTGGATAAGGGTGCTTGACTACATCATCTATAAGGTATTTTCTTTCGAAAGTATGGGATCCTTGTACATCAAGTTTTAATTACTAGTTTTTATTTTATTCTGGGGTTGGTCCGTGAGGAATGGGGACAACTACAAAAGTGATCATCCTCTGAACCGTCCGTCCTTACCAGGTGTGAGAGTTGCCCTAGCTTAGGCAGCCCTACAAAATATCGTCTCAAAGCGATGGTAATCTGTAGGCTCTGCGCAATTTCAGAACTCCGCAACTTTAAGAACAAGAGCTTTGTCATTGTTTCAAAGTAAAAACTACAAGTTCTCCCAGGCAAGAACAAAACTCCAGTCTAAATTACACATCACTACGTCAAATCTACTTAATTAGCAAATTACTACTTGCTAACTAGATAGCTTGAGGGAAATCGGAACTCGTACAAATATAAGCTACATGTTTGATAAACTTTAATCTTTTGAGACTAAGCTAGAAAGATTATTTATTTCTCGTCAAGAACCTGAGGATACAAATCAAAATTTGGCAGCTGATGCAGGCAGCCATTCCCCAGTCATCGGACCACTACTTCGCCTGAAGGAAGACTTTATGTAGCCACTTGCCTCTCATTTCCCTCGGAGTTTACAGTACGCATATAAACAGGACCCAAAAAAACCAAGAGATTGACCAGCAACATTTAACTTGAAGTAAAGCAGGGCAGTAGTTCACATGAAACGTAAGCAAAATATTGACTGTCAGTAGTGACTAAATGAGCATTGCTGGAATAACAGGCAGATGGGAGTTTACGCTTACCAAATCAAATGGAAGCCCGCCGAACAGTAACCAGCCAAGTCCGATAGTAAAAAGATCCTAAAATAGCACGGATAGGATCAGCTGTGATTGTTGAAGACAATGGCATGCAGAAAAGAATATACCAACTAATGCAGGTCATCGACTCTAATGCGTTATTTCTAAAGATCAAGTACAAGTGGAGTCCTACTTGAACATATATATGATGTGGAATAACATGTTGGAATACTATGACAACCATATGGAAGCCAACTGCCTTGACAGTCTAAAATCAACAACAATGACCCAACTTCAAGAAAACCTAATTATATGATCATAATAAAATGACTAACACCGGAAATGTTTGTATGGTCAGCATAACACTAGGTCCGGAATGAGCATCATATACCTTCAAATTACCACAAATTGTCTGTGTGAGAGCAGAATTCAGAGTGGTATTCCAAAAAACGCAATAATTTATGGAAAAAGCCATAACACAGGAAAGCAGCATCACAGCCTGCAAAATATTCAAATTTAGCAAGTTTCAAAAAATTCTTTGATGGAGAGAGAGAGAGAGAGAGAGAGAGAGAGACTTCTCATGAAAGTGAAGCACCTGAAACCCAGGGGAGAATAGATGCGGGAAGTTTATCATCCCTTCTAGGTCACCGTTAATTGATGTCCAAAACAGCAAGATTGGTCCACATATTATTCCTATGATACAGAAAATAGATTTCGGTACATTTTCACGCAAAATGAACCTGAAGGCAATACATAAAACTTTGTTTTTAAGTCTTTTTCTCACCATTGCACCACATTAGGCCAAAGGTACTAAGACCACTGGATTTACCTGCAAAATTGAAGCATATTTTGTATTAATAACGATACCTAGTACTCGAGTGTCACATGAATAAATGAGGCATAAGACAACAGAAGAACAATGATACTACCAATATGAGCTATAGAAGCAAGATATATCGCCGTGCATATGTTTGCAACAAAGACAACACCATAGCTATAGGCGTCAAATGACAAATCCCGAGCTCCGGCAACAATTGCACCAAGTATAATTATCCCCACACTGATGAAGTCCGTGGATGCATTCCATTAAGAAAGGTGTCAAAAACATAAAGACTTAACTGCAAAACAATACGCTCATGTGCATGACTGAATTTCATATAACCCATCATTTTATTCCTTCCGATAAAACTAATGCCACAATTATGGAAAAGTAAATGTATTGTGTACCTGCCCATAACAGGATATGAATGTTTCTGCCGTGTCAAAATATGTTCAACAATCATTGTAAAAGCTACTGTAGTCCGTCTGAGGGTGGTGTACATAGGAACATTTATACCACGAACTGATTCCATTGTAATCAACTTTCACCATAAGGATTACGGATATGCATCGTTAGAATGGATATCAAAATGTCTAGCCAAAGGATGAGCAAGATTCCCCACTAGTCATATACCTACCATGTAAAGCAAATAGGACATTGCAAGAGGAAGAGTGCGAATCAACGTCTTAAATGGTACGAGAACTGCTGGATTGTTCGGAGTACTCTCTGGTTCAGTTGTGAAAGAAACGATCTTCCTGCATTTCATTGCATACAGAAATGTACACGACGATACCATCTAAAAAGACATTCAGAAGCCACTCTAAGAAAAATATCATTCAATTAGCCTACAAGTTGTCAGCCAAGACGTTGGTACAGTAAGTAAGAGTATTTAAATTTCTATTAACATGCATCTGACCATGCAGATTTGAGTAAAGAAACAAAAGAGAACAAAAAGGATGATGATGATGAAAGATTATGAATTCATGCTCTTTTCAAGGAAATAAATTAACACAGTTCTCCACAAGCACTCTCGATTATCATCAAAAAATGAACTAGAATGCCAAGATTAGCATCAGTCGGGGACACAGTAAGACGTCATTGCTTATTATTTTCTTTTTTGAGAAAGGAAAATTATCCTCAAGGAAGACATGATGATATTATGCGTTTATACATACATAAATCTGAACTATCCCAATGCTGTATAGAATCAATCTAATGTACAATTTTCGGCGAACGAGTCACGGAAAAATAATACAAAACATCTGAATTCCTTCATTATGTGAGGACTGGGAATCACAGTGCATGGCTAAAGAGTCAATCTTTGCTTAAACTTAAATCGGTAACTGAAAACAAAGAAGATATGCTAATTAGGCGATATGATAAAGTATTGCGAAAGCAAGATATACTTTATAGTTTGTAAGTCGAGGACTACAATAATACTCCATAAAGCAAACTTAGGCGATATGATACCTGGAAAAGTGTGATGACATTTGCAGACGGGAAATTGTAAGAAGAAAGGGCTGCTTTGTTGAACATTATCAAGAGAACTGCAGAATGAAAGGCAAAGCATGATCATACATGTATTGAAAGGTAGATAGCAGAAACTAGACACATACACAATGAACCATTTCTTTGACCCGAAATACATACATGTATACAATGAACCATTTCTTTGACCAAAAAAACAAAATAAAAATACTGTTTAGTTTTTATAGGAAATTTTTATTGACGCTTCAAACTTCTCATCGACTGAATGCACAATAAAATTTTTGGATTGTCAGTCAAAATCAGGACATCATATACCCTCTGGCCAATGCGCCACGTCGGCAGCTCCAATTGTTACGTTAAAAAGGCGACCACAAATCAAGAAGACTCCGCTTTGCGAGCCTTACTTTACTTTACAAAGAAGATGCGAGTCTGTCTTTACTTTACAGAGAAGTTGTTTCTACGATTCCATGACAAAGGAGAATCAGAAGAAAAAAAATACGATCTATTTTTTATAAATTCCAAAATCCTTTTCTTTTCCTGCGTTTACTGATTAACCAAACAGAGCATAGACAAATTCATAGCTTCAAAGGATCATATTACACGAAATTACGAAAGCAAGAAAGCCAATACAGGCACTAGGAAAAAGAAAAGGAATTACCGGCGGAAGCCATGTAAGAAACGGCAGCAAAAGCTCCTTCTTGGTCATCGCCGGGGAATTCTTGGTCAGCGGAGAGTTGGAGGAGGAGACTGGCAACTTCATCTGGGTTCTTTCCGTCTCCATCGTCAAACACGCCCTTTCTTCCCCTCTCTCTCTCCCTCCTTCTGAGTCGCAGAGACTGTGACGCTCTGGAAAGTCGAAGCTTTTGGGCAACTTTTAAGAAGGGGGAGTGGGAAAGTGGCAGTGGGAGTCGGGGGCGGGCGGGACAGAATATTTTGGGAAGTAATGATGATTCTGGTCAGGTGTAAAATAATAAAATAATAAAAATAATAAATTAGATTACCAAAAGCAGAATGTAAACGTACGATTTGTGTCCTTTTTTGCGAATATTCATCCCAACCATCCAAATTCCACAATTTATTGCCATTTGGCTTTTTTGTCTCCTCCTAATCTTGGAAAATATTCATGAAAAAAATCTTCGAAATATTAGTAGTGAAATTATCCTATAAATGCATTCTATCTTCTTCAATCCAACGTGTCCCGTGTTCAATCTCTTTATCTCATTTTTATCAATTTAAATTAAAAATCTGTCATTAAAAGAGATTTGGTCAACTTTTTTAATCAAAAGCACTGAGAAACTTTTATATAATAATACGGACACAAATGACACACTTTTCAACTTTTATTAACAATACAATCAAAAATATTTTAAAAATTGACACGCGAGTCCTGCCCAGTTGACATGAGAGTCTCTGGCAGGTCTCCGCCTCTATCTCTCACCTGTCCACATGCAAATATGTTTTTTTTTTTAAGGAAACTAATAAAAAGAATTTAAAATTTTTGAGTTTTAACTAAAATAATAAAAAGGTATTGTAAGTGAAATGTTCTTAACGTTAAAAGTAAATAGTACTGAAAACGTTTCGTCAAAACTTTCTATTTTTTATAAAATTTAAAAAGAGTGCTGATAAGGCCACCACATGTCCTATTTTCTGAGTCCGGATCCTCTTTGTGAGGATCTCGGAGATCCGTGAATCGTGTCTATTCATCGTATATCGTATGATCAGAAATCATTTTAAATATTTTTATTTAAAAATAAATATAAATAGTACTTGATAAAAACTGACCGCACGATATACGATAAACGAACACAATTCATTGATCCCCAAAATCCTCATCAAAAGAATCCGAAGAAAATCCAATTGGCTATTTTCCCACCCATCTGTTAATAAAACCAGGGCAGCATATAAAAGAAAAAGAGCTACCGTCAGCAGTGGTTGTGCCTGATTTATTATTGATGGTTGGGTGGGTGATGATGTGGCTGATGGTTTCTATTTTGAGTTTTCCAGTCTTTTTGTTTTTACAACTTAAGCTAGTAGGAATAGTTAGGAAAAAATGGTGGGTGTGAAGATAGTTCTAGATTTTTGGTAAATTTTATGACGGGTGAAATTATAATATGGATGAAAATATAAGACAATAAGATAGGTCTGGTAGCACTTTTTAAAAATTAATGCACCAACTAAATAGATTGAACCTACAACATTCAAACTTCACTGAATATTAATTGAGAATCCATCACTATTTCAAAATGTTAATAGAGAAACAATCGATGTTTTTTAAAAATTATTGTTATTACCACCACCACTAATATTACTAAATATACTCTCAAATCGAGACTTTTATATTCAAGTTTACCAAATACTTTTAAATTATTTTTCATACTCTTAAACTTTTAAAAATATAATTTATAAAACGCTTAACTGTCTTATTATTATTTTTTAAATCAGAACAATCCTAAGGCTCTAAGCCAAGCTATCCAACACGAGGAAAGAAAGAACTCCATTACGCGCAATGTGGCACCCCTCGCCTTAACAATTCTCCACGGCGACCCCACTGCCTTGCCCACTAAGGATTCTCTCTCTCTCTCTCTCTCTCTATCTCTCTCTCTCTTCCTCGCTTTCTTTCTATCTATCTGCAAATCGTCGGCGATGCAAGAACCAGAGCTCCACGATCTGTCCGACGACGCCGATTACGCCGCGTCGCTGCGACACGTAAGCGTTTCTCCGGCGACGCAAACTTTAATTCATCGTTTCTGAGTGTTTTAGGGTTGATTAATTTGGGGATTTTGTTCGCTTTGATTTGGATTAGGGCTCGGCGAGCATGATGCGGAGCGATAGCGGGAAGCACAGCTCGTCGAGCGAGCATGACGGTGCCGAGGTGGTTTTCTTGAAAGACAATGTCACCATCCACCCCACTCAGTTCACCTCCGAGAGGATTAGTGGAAGATTGAGGCTAATTAAGCACGGCTCTTCTCTTTTCATGGTATTATTGATTAATTAACGATTGATTAATTAAAGATTATCTCTTGATTACTGGTATATCTGTTAATTATTGTTGTGTTGGGTTCGGTTTAATTTTTAGACATGGATTCCGTACAACGGCCAAAACTCGAACGCTAGGGTGTCTGAGAAAGGTTCTGTAGCTTTAGAATTTGAATTTTAGTAGTTAATTTTGTTAAATTTGTTGAATTTATTTATATGTTCAATTTTTGTGGTTTGTGCTTGTGGTGGTGTAGATAGAAATCTTTATACCATAAGGTCCGTGCCATTAACGGAGGTGCGGTCAATTCGTCGCCACACTCCAGCGCTTGGATGGCAGTACATTATCGTCGTTTTGGCGACAGGTAAAGCCACTTGATCATGATTTGTAAGGCCAAATTATATATGGTGTTGGTTACAGTTTGTTTGGCAGCTTTACTAGACTATTGTTGTCCGCTATTTGTTCCTTAGGAGCTTGTGTACTTGATACTACTTACTATTAAGGGGGCAACCCTTGGTGATTTCCTTGTTAGTCATCCCAATGCAGCGTAATCCCAATTCGAACAACCAATTTGGAAGTATATCTAGTAGGTAGAAGAAAGCAAATCATGTTAAAGTGCAAGACTTTAAGTACATATTCTATAATTTCACAATTTTTCATAGTCCATCTCTTATCCCTAGATATTATTATCCAAAAGTAAACGGTAATAAAGGCCAGATATCGTACCGTGTAAGAACCATTTGTGCATACAGTTTAAGAAATTAACTAGATTTGCTAAAAAATCTTGTAATTGTCTAAGGTTAGAAGAAAAGAACAGGTGGTAATTATCGAATCGGGTTTACTGTTTCTGCAGCCTTCGTTTTGCTCCTTGATTTACTTAGGCTTATATCTAAAGCTGTATACCCTTGTATGATGTTTTGTTTGTATTTGTATTATATGGTTTGAAAGTAAGTTTTTGCAGGACTTGCATTTCCTCCTCTGTACTTCTACAATGGGGGAGTCAAAGAGTTCCTTGCTGCAATAAAGCAACATGTTTTCCTTGTGAGGTTGGTTATTATTGTTAATTGATATAAATACCTTCCGAAACTTAAGGTCCAAAGATGAAAGATTCCTTTTGCTACATGTTCTAAATCCTTAATTTCCAATTAAAAATAGATAATCCAGAATTTCATTCTGTTAAATGTTTTCAGGTCAGCTGAAGATGCAAATGTATTTCTGGTGAATGATTTTCAAAATCCTCTCCAGGTATGCATTATTTATCTTGTAAACTTTGGTCTTCTTGATGATACTATCAAGCTGGAAACTGCAATGTTTTCTCATGATTTATTTGTTTCTTCAGAGAACTCTATCGTCTTTGGAGTTGCCTAGGGCTCTTTCTGTTGCAAGTGGGCAATCTACATTAGTCTCAGTTGGCGAGACCTCTTCAGATGAAAACCAGGAGAGAACAAGTGGGTATGTTCAAGACGGAAGTTTAAGCATTTCTCAATACAATGAGAGGCAAAGGCAAAGGGTTCATGATCCTGCTCGAGATCTCTCAATTCAAGTGTTGGAAAAGTTCTCTCTCGTGACCAAATTTGCTCGAGAAACAACTTCTCAACTTTTCCGTGATAATCATAGTAACGGATATGGTGCTATAGAAAGGAGAAGTAATAACCAGTCTCCCATTGATTACCCTCAGAAGGCGTCCCATGATTCATACAGAGCCCCTGAGAAAAGTCCTGTCCCCCCAGATTCCCTGGAGGTAAATTTTCCGTTTTATTTTGGGACAAACTGTTGCCATCAGTGCTGTTAATTTATAAATGAACTCAAGGAAGTTTTCTGGCTTGGTGCCAATAGAAACTCGTAGATAAAAGGTTTTAAGACGTAATTTAAGCTTAGTCAAACATACAATTTCCTTCAGATTATCATGTCCATTGTATTCATAATCGTTGTTCAAATTGGCAGTTTGATAAAGAATCAATGGTATGGGGAAAACCACGACAGCCACCTTTGGGCTCTGATGAGGTGATTTTTTTTTCACTTTTGAAAATGAAGAGTAGACTGTAGAACTGGAGCTGCTAGAAATGTGTTGGTATTGTCATATAGCTTTGTGTAAGTTGCGCTTATTTTTGCAGTGGGAAGCTTTCTTTGATTCTGAAGGAAGGATCATCGACTCAGAAGCTTTCAGAAAGAGAATATTTTATGGGGGAGTTGAGCACAAACTACGGAAAGAGGTTTTTATACTGTTGTATGTTGGAAACTATGACCAAGTGCCTTGTTTGAATATGCATTATGTCATCAGTATTCTTAATTTCGATTGTAGGTGTGGCCCTTCTTGTTGGGATACCATGCATTTGATTCGACAGATGCTGAGAGGGAATACCTTAGGGCCGTTAAAAAGTCAGAATTTGAAACCATAAAGATGCAATGGCAGGTTGGTAGTAATATTATTGTATATTTCCAATTTTCCACTAAGATACACACACTCTGCCCCTCTCTCTCTCTCTCTCTCTCTCTCTCTCTCTCTCACTCACTAACATGCACAAAAATGCAGCTGTCCTGAGTAGCTTGATTAGGTGGCTTATGATATATATTTGTATTTTCCTCTGCAGAGTATCTCCCCGGAACAGGCCAAAAGATTTACAAAATTCAGGGAGAGAAAAGGCCTCATTGAGAAAGATGTGGTATCATGAAACCTGCTGGATTTATTCTGATCTTTCAACTTCAGTTATGAATTATTGCTGTTTTAAAGTCTAAAAATGTTAACTGTGTTCTAACTTTTCTTTAGGTAAGGACTGACAGATCTCTCTCCTACTACGATGGGGATGATAATCCAAATGTGAATCTGTTACGTGATATACTCTTAACGTACTCATTTTACAACTTCGATCTTGGCTACTGTCAGGTGATTACTTCTCCTGCTTAGTAGATTCTTGCAGCAGTTGGCTGCATAAATTGATTTTACATTTCTGCAAGACACATGAAGCTTAAGTAAGATACCATTTTACCATGGCAGCGTAAAAGTTTGGTTTGTGATTATCTCACGATATATAATCATATTAGCTGTGTGGTTTATGCACATTTGTCATATATGTAGTTAAATATTTCATTTGGGATATAGCTTTCACCTTCCCGTCTCTTGTGGTCATGTTTGTAAAGTGAGAACATTATCTTCAAATATTGAATCTGAATGTAAGTTGTTTCAGTATGTAACTCCTCAGTTCAGTTGTGGAAGCTGTGTTCCATTGCTTTATGAGATATCTTTCTTTTGTCTTGCAGGGTATGAGTGATCTCCTGTCCCCAATATTGTATGTAATGGAGGATGAGTCCGAATCGTTTTGGTGTTTTGTTTCACTGATGGAGCGCCTTGGGCCCAATTTCAACCGTGACCAAAGTGGCATGCACTCTCAACTTTTTGCAGTAACTAAGGTCTCCCTCTCTTTTCTACCTTCACATTGCTTTGCCAGGCAGAAACTGTGTTCTTAATTCTTTCTGAATCATTGTTGTTGTAGTTGGTGGAGTTGTTAGACGTTCCGTTGCACAATCACTTTACTCAGAAGGACTGCTTGAATTACTTCTTTTGTTTCCGCTGGGTTCTAATACAATTTAAAAGGTCAGGTTCTACACTCCATTAGTTCGTAATATTGATTCATTTATGTTATGTATGTATGGTTGTACGTTTGTGAGAGTTACTGTATATTTCTTTCACTCCGCTTTTCCTGATAGAGTTTCATCGCGTATCTATCTTTAGGGAATTTGAATTCGACAAAACATTGCGCTTGTGGGAGATATTGTGGACGCATTATCCGTCTGAGCACCTGCACCTGTACGTCTGTGTGGCGATATTGAAGCGACACCGTAGTAAGATAATTGGGGAGCAAATGGACTTTGACACTCTATTGAAGTTCATCAATGAACTGAGCGGTCATATAGATCTCGATGCCGTGGTCAGGGATGCAGAGGCTCTGTGCATATGTGCCGGCGAGAATGGTGCTGCTTCCATTCCACCGGGAACTCCGCCGTCATTGCCTGTTGATGATGTGTTATTGTACCCTCAACAAGAACTAGACGACATATTGTAAATGTATTCCCATTCGAGGGAGGATTCATCGACCTTGAACCTCCGACATTTTGGAGATTTAATAATTGCTTTTCAAAGACAATTAGCTTGTTTTTCGTATGTTGACCTGCAAGGCTGCAACCGTGGTTTGTATGCTTTATCGTGTCTTAAGAAGTTACATCTTGGCATCATGCGTGTCCAATACGAGAAATTGACATGCGATGTGAATCTGTAATTATGACGGTATTTCAAGTTGATCAGCCATTGCCGTGCGTTTTAATTTTCTCATTGATGCATGATTGATATTGATTTGCGATATTGACATATTGACATGTTCGTTGCAAAAAAAGCTCTTTATTGTTCAAAAAAGGAGAGAGAGAGAGAGAGAAGTGTCATCAAGCGAGGCGACTCACTGCCAAAGAAAACCTGATAATGGTCCCTGGTATGAGTTGTACAAAATGAGGGTGTGTAAAAGGTACATTCGTGACACTTTTTTGCATAACTAATATCGGTGACTACCGTTAGTTGGGTAGGTATTATTGACACATCCAATTTTATCTATCACACATCCTTTTAAATTTTTGCCGTCTAATCCGGAATTAAAAAAGATTAATAAGCAAAAATAACAAAATTAATAAGGATGCGTGAGAGATAAAAAATGATGTGAAAATAGCATGACCTTTGTCAGTTTTTCAACTGCAGAGAAAAACAAGCACTAGCTACTAGAGGAGGCTAGCTAGCTCATATAACAGCTGCTGCACTAATGTATACAAGTGCTTGTTTAATCAAATAAAAGAAAAGAGTCCATATATCCAATGAAAGGCTCGTCATCAAACGCAAACGCTGCGTTGAAGTTTGAACTGAAGCTAGGCAGGTAATACTGGTAGTACTGCAGCTCCCTTGGAGATTCTAAGTCCATGTCGTCGTAAAACCAGCTCTCTTCTGTACTAGTAGAAGTAAACATTGATTCAATATTCGGCTCCTTGTGATGCTGATGCTGATGATCAGAACTGGTGTCTTTTGGAATTCGATCAGTACTACTGGTGATCATCGGATCATCAGTAGTAGTAGTGGCAGTGCTCGAAGTCTTACCCGTGCCGATTTTGTTCTTTTTCTTAGTGATATTGATGCCATCGTTTGAGTAGTCAGTGATGGTGGTGCTTTTCCTTTTGCTTCCAGCTGCCGGGCAGCAGCTGATATTCTTGTTCAAATGGGTATTCCAGTAGTTCTTCACTTCATTATCCGTTCGGCCAGGAAGTCGGCCCGCAATCAGTGACCATCTATGTAGATATATATTTTGTAGCAAAGCAACCAAAGTAATTAGTGAAGGTTAAGTGATGAATTCATTGAAGTGCTGATGATGATTAGTTGATCATTAATTACTAACCGATTGCCAAGAAGTTTGTGCATGCGGATGATGAGGTCTTGCTCTTCTTGGGACATGTCTCCACGTTTGATGTTAGGTCTCAAGTAATTCTTCCATCTTAGCCTACAGCTCTTTCCTCCCCTCTTCAGACCTGAATATATATGCATGCATGTTTTATGTTTAGGGTTTGCGTGTGTGTGTGTGTGTGTGTGTGTGTGTGAGAGAGAGAGAGAGAGAGAGAGAGAGAGTATGATGAATAACTAGCTAACTAATGAACCTGATCGCTTGGAAACATTTGCCCAGTTGCCTTCACCATGAGTTTCCACATATTGTCTGAGAATCAAGTCCTCCTCTGGCTTCCACAAGTTCTTCTTCGGCTGTGCATTTCCTGCTTTCACAACTGATGATGATCTTTTGTTTCCGGTCATCTCCATGACGAGAACAGAGACAATAGTACTAGCTAGGTAACTGGTCTTGATCGATATTTTTGTTTTCTGTGAGTCGACCTGCTAGCTAGCTATATATGTGTGTGTCTGCAATTGTAGATTACAGAACGTGAAATCTACGTACGTACGTGAATAATGTGTTAACGGGGGGCCTATTTAATTTGGTTCAACTCAATTCCTCCTACTTTAGCTTTTTCTCGACTCTTGAGTCCTTGGCAACCCCACATCTCCTCCTGTAAAAGCAAACCTTGCGTCCCACTATGGCTACTTCAAATTTAGCAAAGATTCCGGAGAGAAAAAGTGAAAGATGGAAGGACAGAGTAATCAGCAGATAGAACAGTACGTAGGTACTAGAAGTACTAGGCAATTCAGTGTACATATTCACGTATCACCAGTTTTAATGCGTATTCACTGTTTTACTACAAAAAGTGCAGTAAATTTATGGTTAGGGCAACTACAATTCTACATGTGATATCCTTCATAGACATGCACGGGTGGTTACCAGTTCGTCTTTTAAAGCTTTGCCCACGTGGGTTGAATGGCTTACCCTTTTTTCCCCTTTTGCTAATCATCTCATATCTTTTTGGGATACTTTAAGCAATTACGTTTTGCAGTTTTAACTTATATATATAATAAAGATTCAAGTATCAAACATAGGTGATTTAAGTCAAAAGTAGGGCAGGTTGAATGGCTTACCCTTTTTTGCCCTTTGCTAATCATCTCATATCTTTTTGGGATACTTTAAGCAATTGCGTTTTGCAGTTTTAACTTATATATATATATATATTAGAGATTCACGTATCAAACATAGGTGATTTAAGTCAAAAGTAGGGCATTTTAATTGAGTCATTAAAGATGTCTGAATTTCAATTACGATCATTCAGTTTATTTCATAATAAAATGCAGAAACGTGTTTTTATACAATATGAAGCATCTTAAAGATTTAATGGCCTAAATATTGTAGGTGAAATTTTTTACTTTTTATTTTTTTGTGAAGTTCACACACTTCAAACTATCCTTTAATGTTATCAATTTACTCATGTTACTCTTAATAAATCCTAAACTAATAAAATCACGTGAATAACAATGTCACAAAAATTAAGCTACCGTAATGAAACTAACAAACCAAATAAATATCAAACTCATTGTAAATATATATTATCCTCACCATAATGAAGCCCCCTTTAATCAAGTAGGGACAAATACTATAATACAAACAAAGAGTTGTTCAAATTTGAAGAGTTTGGAATGAAGATTAGTATGAAGTGATAAGAAAGGAAAGACCCCACTATCCACAAAGGAGGCATCTTTAAACGAGGAGTGCCAACTTTTAATTGATAACTGTACATGGTGCGTGTGAGTTCTCTTATTTTCTTGCTAATTCTGCAACTGCAAGGGCCAGCAAATAGGAGACGCGTTATATGCAATATGTTAGGGGGAGTGGCATACTGACATGACCATTCGTCTCTCAGAAGCATGCACATGCCCTCAACTCATACTCTTCCCCTGACCTTAGCTAGTTGCAAATCAAATCAGCTTGTACATTATTTTGCTTTCAAGGCAGATGTGATAATTATTTCTCCTTTTTCAATTCCTTGCATTCAGCAATTTATTGTAGTTTCTGGTTTTTGGACAGCCAAAAACAATCATGCTCCTCATCATTTCATTTTCTCTGGGGTTGTTGCAAGGTTTCTGGCTTCAGATTGATTTTCCAAAAGCTATCTAGTTATAATTGCAGCTGATAAACCACACAAATGCTTTTCGACCTTACTAGTTTACTCATACATTGCTAATAATATAATTCGGAGACATACAAAGTTACATAATGATAACATGAATATTTACAAGCTTGATCTGGAAAGTTTGCCAGCCAAATATAAGTACTAAAGCTAACTAGCTTGACGGGAGTTTGATCGTAACATTCTGATATGAAAGGACCGCTAACAGCTAGATATATATATAGTACTGCATTATATTCTCTGATAGTCGTTATCACCTTGTAAAGTTCTCCACCATCTCTTGTTTCTTTTGTTGTGATCTCCGTACAATAATATAAAGAAATAAGACCCATGAGGGATAGAAAATGACAAGTTTTGTGTGCACTACAATCCATAGTTTGGGTTAAATCTTCAAAAAAAATATACATGGTGGATTTCCTTTATGGAGGGCCAAACCCTAGCTATCAAATCTTTTATTTGGTTTTAGAAATTTAACTGACAATTTATATAACATTGATATTTATAGCATTTCCCATACACATTAATAGCTAGGCTAATTAACTAATTTATAACAATGATTATTCTTTATAATTTCTGCAACCTTTTTAAAATCATATAACATCACTTATTTAGGGTTTTGATTTGATTCGTGGTGGCAGTCAAAAGTATAGTGTTATGGGTTACCAATTTGGGGTTTTGATTATTTTAAATTGTATGGACTTGGCTTTGAGTTATGCTAAATTTGATGATCTGAGTTGTTTGAATTTTGCAGTTTTGTTGGGCATTAGTTTTTTTGTTATTAGATTATTATTTTTATTGTTGCATCTTTGATGTCTTACCGACCACTTTAATGTACAGTTAAAATTTATCTGATGAATATCGTTTAGTTTTAGATGTATAAAATCATGCAACCTTTTCTTCCTTTTTTTTTCATATAAAGATAAGTAAAACTCCTAAGATGTATACAAGCTAGAGTTGCATGATCTTAAAAATTTATGACATTGTGCATGCATTCCGAACCACGCACAGATTTCGATATCTTATGCATGTTCGCACTTGGAGAACATGAAGTCACTTTTAAGCTGGCATGCTGGGGAATTTTAGCTAGATTACGAATCCTTCACCATCACCATATCCCATCCCATGCATTATTTGCACAATAATATTTCACCTTTTTCGCTTTTTAATATGTTTCCTGTAGAAGCAGAAATCACAAGTAAATCTTGACCCTGCAAAGCGAAAGCAAAACCCTCCAATTATTCTCTATATCTACCATTTATCAAAGAATATCAAACCCCACCAAACTCTTGCCTGCAAATCAAATGAGCTTTTTTGCCCAAACCAACAGGTAAAGTTTCCGCTTAACATTACACATTCAAATTCAAAGTGCAACTTTTTGGTTACAAACATATTGCAATGGAGTATCTTTCTTGGATTCATTCTTTTCAGAATCGTGCTTAACTTAAATATTCTTAATTAATTCCCAACCAATGAAACATATATACATGTAGGGTGGATCCATGACGCCATTTATATTTTACACAACTTTTGACACATGTTTTAAGGGGCTCATTCTATATTTTAATAATTCGAACAATCTATCTTTTTTAACATCATTCATAGATCATCCTTGCAAAAGATTAGATAAATCCAAAACTATTAAGACATTCATTTCCTAGCAAAGAAAATGGATGAATATGGTTCTTCTTTAGAAACTATAAACATTTAACGCAACGTTCATATGGTTTCAGATATATATATATATATATATATATATATATATATGGCAATTGGCATTAAATTCTTAAGTCCTAATAATTCATGGTAAAATATTGGTCCCTACCTAGCATTGTTCTTAAATTTTTCCTGTTAAATGCAGTAATTAATTAATGGCTAAATAGCCAAAATGGTCCCTGAAAGTTGCATAACACATTACTTTGGTCCCTGAGCTTGAAAATCAATATAAATGGTCCCTGAGATTGTCCACCATCCAACATTTTGGTCATTCTGTTAAAAACTCCGTTAAGTGTCCCGAAGCTCTTGGCCGGAAGTTTGGGCAATTTTCAAAGATTCGTAACTCAATCATTTCTTAACCAAATTCGACCCATAATATATCAAAATGAAGATATCAAAGTGTAGAATAAGATTATACCTATTTGGAAGCCCAATGGTTGCCAAAGATGGCCAGAAAATAGCCTCAAAGTTGACTGGTCCGCGTGAAAATTGGAAAACTAGCCGGAAACTGGGTAAACTTTAAACGTTCATAACTTCTTCAATACTCAACGAAATCGAGTGATTCAAAAACGAAAATCATAATTCTCGACGAGAGGAAGAGAATGGTACCTTTCTTGACGACTAACTCGTCGTAGTTTTGCCGGAAAAAGGCTCGAGAAGTATGATTTTTGTTTTTTAATCACTTGATTTCGTTGAGTATTGAAGAAGTTATGCACGTTTAAAGTTTACCCAGTTTCCGGCAAGTTTTCCAGTTTTCCCGCGGACCAGTCAACTTTGAGGCTATTTTCCGGCCATCTCCGGAAACCATTGGGCTTCCAAAAGGTATAATCTTGTTCTACACTTTCCTATCTTCATTTTGATATATTATGGGTCAAATTTGGTTAAGAAATGATTGAGTTACGAAGCTTTGAAAATTGTCCAAACTTCCGGCCAAGAGCTCCGGAACACTTAACGGATTTTTTAACGGAATGACCAAAATAATGGATGGTGGACAATCTCAATGACCATTTCTATTGATTTTCAATCTCAAAGACCAAAGTGATGTGTTATGCAAATCTCAAGAACCATTTTGACTAATTAGCCTTAATGAATTGAACAAAAATGCAGCTGTAAAAACAGTAACCTAGAAATAATTGATTAATTAAGCTAAGGGATCCCAAACGTGACAGAAAACATATATAGATGAATATTCTACTTCAATCTGAATGAAAAAGTAACAATCGTAACCCACTGCATGTTTTCTGTAGATGAATGTTATACTTCAATCAGTCAAGCGAATGAAACAGTAACAATCGTAACCCACTGCACTAATTAAAAAGTGTTATGATTGTTTCCTTAAGGAACTATCCAACGGGGATTAGGTGATTTGCAGCCATCATTCTGCCATTGCTTATTCCGATCAAGCCTCTCGTCCTTATCGAATTATATGTCGGACCTGTCACGAGGCTATTCTTTGGTTTCGGAACTGTATGCGTAGAGTGCATTTTTGCTCACCCTCTTAAAATGAGAGTGGTGCTCACCTTCCAATTGTTTCTAAATTAGTTTAAATTTTAAGAATTATATCTTAAATCAATTAAAACAAATTAATTTGACGGCAATGAATGGAGAGCGAGCTTGACGTGCGGAACCTATCTTGTATAAGCAGAACTGTATATGGCTTGAGCTTTTGAGGC